CATTTCTCAAAGGAAAACAAATGACAATTTGAATTGCAAAATAGATTATTATCTATTTATATTTATAATGTGTTCATTAATTATGACGTAGACAACTGAAACAGGCTAGCACGAGTTTCTTGGTCATAATTCCTAAGCCCTAACAAGCACAATTCATAGTAAAATTTTATTCCATTTTGAATTTATCATATTGTCCCCAATCCATGATTTTTTCAAGGTACTAAAAAGCTGACATGGGCTGTATGAGCGAACATTCGAGTTTAGCATTAGCAATGTTGGTTAATAGTCTTATTTTCCTTAGGTGCAAATTTGTCTGTGCACTCCCAGCTGCACTGAAAATGTTTTCTGAACAAAGGGAGGAGGAAGACATCTTAAAGATTGCAGTGGAAGTCAAGGAAAACCATAATTTACATTTCAGAATATAAATGCACCAGGGAGGCCTTCTTCCCTTGCTGTCTGGAACTTTGATTGGCATTTCAATAGAATTCTACAAAATTGGAGGGTGGTCCCAGGAAACCCATCCTTATGGTTACCAATGACTGTAATTCCAGGCATCTGATCTGAGCAAGTAATATTTATGAGAACAGGACATTTACAAAGTCAACTATGAAAGCCAATGGGAGCCAGAAAACTAACATAAGGAGGAGAATAAGGACATGGGTAGTAAGGATTTGTGGATGCTTCCTTCTGGAAAACAGATGTATTTCTAGTTCAGGTTAATTCTGCTTTTCTAATTGTTGATAAAGTGGCAAAGGGCAATTATTTGTGTGTGTGTGAATCACATGTTTTTCATTCTCACTCAAAAACCTATCTTCTCCAGAAAATGTTATCTACTATAATCTTTTAAAATTTAAGGCACTACAAAAATTGGACTATTTTGGATATAAACTTTCTAGAATTCTTGAGTATAAAATTTTATTTTGGACGTTAAATTGCAAAATCTGGCCTTCTCTCTTAAAATCAGGGGAAAAAAAAGGACAAAGAAATTGAGGTACCTCAAAGTAATTATGAACTTCTCTCTCTCTAAATATAACAAAGTTCTAAATCACCTTTTTTCTCTTTTCTTCAATTTTCAAAGCTTGTAGCTAGAAAATGATAATCATACTTTATCTATTCTATTAGCTTATAACCTTTCCATCCAATCAAACTTCCATTCTGGTCTAGAACTCTCCTTTCTTCTTTCTTACCTTTCTTTTTTTCTCTCTATATCCTTCTTTCCTTCCCTCCCTCCCTCTCTCCTTCCCTCCCTCTCTCCCTCCCTCCTTCCCTCCCCCTTTCCCTCTCCCTTCCTCCCTCCCTCTCTCCCTCCCTCCTTTCCTTCCTTCCTTCCTTCCTTCCTATTTCCTTCTCTCTTATTATTTTTTCTTCCTCCTTTCCTTCTGTGTGGTTCTTAATCATTCTTATGAAGATAAGGCAATGTGTAGTTTTATAAATGTGAATATATACAGGAAGATGTAAGACATTACAAGAATATAGCTGCTGATATAAGAGAAGTCCAGCGTACATGGTGAGAAAAAGAAATCTAACATTTCCCCCCAAGAGACTGGCCAATTGTATTAATAGACAAATGTATTAGAATCTTTTCTGATCTCAATAATTTAAAGTGCAAAATTTATCACTTAGATCATTTCCAGTTATTTATAAGTTTTTCTCCATTGGGCTTCTAACATTTACTCATTTTTTCTCATGCCAATACTATATAGGACTAATTATTATAGCTTTAGTATAATTATTTTTTTCCTTGTAGGTACAAATATTCTATCATTGTAATATTCTAAACATTTTCTTGAGTTTTCCTTTACTTCTTGCCAGATAAATGTTATAACATCCATGCCAAAAATCTTTAAACATTCTTTTAGGATTTAAATCATAATTAATTTGGCAGAATTGATAGCTTTATAATTTTGCATTTTACCAGCTCATAATGTATATGTAAAATTTCATGTCAATCTTATTTTATGCCCCTTCAGTAAAGTTTCACAGTTATTTTCTCTTGCAGCTTTCATCAAATTATGGAGTTTCTCTTCTATTCCTACAGTAAAAACTAACTTTCCAAATGAAGATTTTTAAAAACCACCAATTGCATTCTTATCAGCATCTCAGATGATCATACCCTCCCTTTTTCTAAAAACACTTTACTTCGTCATTGTAGGAAATTACATTAGGGCTGTGATTCTTACTCAGAATTTCTGCTAGAGCTATTACAAAAGAGAAATTCTCATTCTGCTAGAGTTGCTGAACTAATAGGATAGTCGTCCAGAAATGCTATGTACCATTTGCCAACATATCAAAGACAATATTTGAGGGAAAAGACCACACAATATAAACTGTAATTTAAAGCTCAAGAGACAAAGATTGAGGATATCATTTGTAGAACTTGAACTAATTCATGCCTAAACTTAGCCTACCTATTGGACTTCTCAATATGGTGAATCGAAAATCTCCTTTATTGTTTTACCTGGTGTCCAACTGTCACTGCAAGAGAGCTTCATATAATATTCTGTGTTCCATTTTTAGATTTTTAAAAATATAATCATTATAAAGATAAAACAGGAGCGGATAATCTCCGTTTTATAAGAGCATAGACACAAAACTCATACAGATGATTTACATTGAAACTAATGCAGTTTGCCTAGTAATATTTTTCTGGTTACTTCTGCTACATTTTATGTCACTGGGGATGACCTTTTAAACTTTCAATGAATATGTACTTGAGATTCTACTTTTCATGTCTGTTTATTAATTTTTGCATCATGGTCAGTGGTATGACCTCCATGATTGCTGCTCTTTGTAATATGTAGTTTTTTTCTGCAGCTTTACATGATATCACATAAAATGTCTTTAATTTCTTAAGCACATTGGTAAGAATTAACATGCCATATTTATTGGATTTACAGATTCTTTCCTTTCTTCATCCCTTCTTTGTTCCTTCCATACTTACTATAAAATAGTACTTTAAAAAGTTCAAATTTTCTCAACCTTTGCTTGATATTTTCTTTGCTTACCTGCCAACTTCTGAGAGAAGGATGTGAAACCTCTCTATTTTTATTATTACAGTTTTTGCCTTTTCAATATAAAATATATGTTGCTAGGAACTTGAATATTAAGATGAAATATTTGTCATTGTGTCATTTATCCTATTACCTCAAATCAATTTTTTTCTAATGTTAACATTGCCTCAGTGTTTTCTGTTTAGCATTTCCTTGGTATAATGTGTGTATGTGTATTGTGTTGTAAAATCATGTCTGAGTACAAGACCCATTAAAATGCAAAAGAGACAAACTAGTTTTAATGAAACAATATGAAAAGTTCACTAACATAATGTCAGATTCTTTATTACAGCAAACATTTTTAAAATGACCACTTCTTCTTTTCTTTTCTTTTCTTTTTTCCTGTTTTATTTTTTTTTAAGATATCACTTTGTTGCCTAGGATAGACTGCAGTAGGCTAATCATAACTTACGGCAAACTCAAACTCCTGGGCTAAGCAATCCTCCCACCTCAGCCTCTTGAATAGCTGTGGCGACAGGGCACAGCATCACACCTAGCTACAAAATAACCACTTTTGAAAATTTGATAGAGTATCATAAAAGAATATTCATATTTACCTGAGAAGGCTGAAAATCCCCCTCCTTTTCCCAACTAATCCATGTGTGCAACGAGGTAAATAAGTCTCCCCAAACTTACACATTGAAATCTTAACCCCCAATGTGATGGTATCTGGAATTGAGGCATTTAGGAGGTGATTAGATAATGAGAATGAAGCCCTCAGAAATGGTATTAGTGTCTTATGAAAGAGACCCCAGAGAGCTCCCTTGCCCCTGCCACCATGAGAGTTAACTGTAAGGAGATGGCTATATATGAGGAAGTAGGACCTTAGCAGACAACTGACTAACTGATGCCTTGATCTTGGATTTTCCAGTTTCCAGAATAATTAAAAATAAATTTCTCTTGTTTACAAGCCAGTCAGTCTATGGAATTTCATCATAGCTGCCTAAACAAACTAAGACAATGTATGAGGCTAATTTTTTTCAGCTTACTTCAACCAAAATCGTGACATAACAGACAGAATGCAAAAGCAAATAATAAAAAACCAGTTGTGTTTTATTAAATGAGAAATTAGAGAATTTGCAAAAGGCAAAACTAAACTCTCTTCTCACTAAATTCATTTCAGTTTCGAGGAATATAATTTTTCATGTGTAATTTCTGTTAAAATGTAATGGATTTATTAAAACTATTTTAACTTAATTGTTAAATAAATATTTCCAAAATTGTTCGATTTTAATTTTGAATTTATGAAATATTAATAGGTATAACCCATATGAGCAAAAGACCTTTGCAGTTATTACTAATTTTTAAAAGTATACAAGGATTCTGAGAACAAAAATTTGAAAACCTTTGTTTTGGAGAAGTTTCCTTTATTTTATATATTTATTCTGAATATTTTCTTCCAGTTTATGATATATATTTTTATTTCCCAAATGCTTTGAGTAAATCAATTTTTAAAAATTAATGAAGTCTAAGAAACATATATATTTTTTGGTTATTTCTTTATTGTCTAGAAATTTTGCCTATCCCTTGGATTACTCTGTTCTGTTTAACCTAGAAGCTCTATAGTTTTAGTTTCATGCTTAAGTCATGATCTATCCAAAATTCAGTGTTGTATATTATGCGAAGGAGTTGAAGTTCATTTTGACTACATGGTTATCCAATATACAGTTGTTCTGGCACCATTTGTTTACAAGACTGTTGAATCCATTAAATTTCCTTGGCGCCTTTGAAAAAAAATCAGGTGGATACTGATTTTATAATATTGTAAATATTTACAGGATTATAAATATTAAAATAGTGTAGTTTTGTTATAAATATTGAAATGTCGATTGGTATCTATCAAATATCATATTGAAATTAGATTTGGGGTTGCTATGAATCTATCCATCAATTTGGCAGTGTAACAATATTGAGTCTTCGTGATGATGAATAGTAATTCAGGCTTTCATTTTTTGCTGTGATGTTCCATAGTTTTGGTGTAAAGGTCTTCAGTATTTTTATTAAATATGTTGCATATCAAAAAAACATTTTTCATGCTTGGTACGTGAAATTTTAATGTCATTTTCAATTTTTAAAATATATAAAATGGAATTGAATTTTATATTGATATAATATAGTCACATTTCTAATTTCACTTACTAGTTCCAAAACATTTATTAGTTCTGAAAGTTTTATAAGTAAACAATGATGTCACATATAAATAATAGCAGTTTTATTTCTTTGTTTTCAATTTACATGGATTTCTTTTTCTTGCCTTATTGTACTGGATAAAACTTGTAGTATATTATTGAAGGAAAGAGATGATATTCTTGTACTGTTCTCAGTATTAGAGGAATATATTTAGTCTTTTGCCATCAAGTTTTCTGTATCCATAGTTCTCTGCCTTTTATCAGGTTAAAAACAAAGCTTTTGCACTCTTAGATGCTGAAAGATTTTACTCTGAATGGTTGATAATTTTTAAAAAAAATGATTTTCAGCATCTGTTGGAATGATCACATGGTTTTTGTTATTGTGTTAATATGGTAGAATACATTAATTTGATTTTTAAAGTTAATTTACCCTTATATTTTTTAAATGAATTTTGTTTGGTCATAATGTAATATCCATTTTTAAAATTGTTGAATATAACTTGCTAATATTTTTTCAAGATTCACGGGTTTGTAATTATCTGGTATTCATTTCTCTTGAAGACAAGTGATAAAATTTACTAGTAAACTGATTTGGTCCAGAATTTTTTTGTAAAAATATTAACATTTTTGACAATATCATTTTTGTTGTTATTGAGTCTTTTTTTTTTCTCTTGACTTTTATTTTAGGTTCAGAGGGTACATGTGCAGGTTTGTTACATGGGTAAATTACATGTTGCTTAGGTGTGGTATACAAATGATCCCATTATCGAAGTAGTACCCTTTGGGAATTTTTCAACTTATACCACCCTCCCTGCCGCCTCCCTCAAGAAATCCCCAGTGTCTATTGTTCTTATTTTTGTGTCCATGTGTAATCAATATTTAGCTACACTTTATACATGCGAACACACAGTATTTAGTTTTCTGTTTCTGTGTTAGATTGCTTAGGGTAATGGTTTCTACTTGCATTCATGTTGCTGCAAAGGACATAATTTTAATTCTTTTCATGGCTGTGGTAAGTATTCCATTTTGTATATATACCACATGTTCCTTATCAGTTCACCATTTATGAGCATCTAGGTTGACTCTGTGTCTGATATTGTGAATAGCACTATGATGATTGTATGAGTGTAAGTGTCTTTTTGGTAGAATGATTTATTTTCCCTTGGGTATATATCCAGTAGGAAGATTGCTGGGTCAAATGGTAGTTCTGTTTTAAATTCATTAAGGAATCTAGACACTGCTTTCCACAGTGATGGAACTAATTTACATTCCCACCAGTAGTAGATAAGTGTTTCTTTATTCCATAATCTCGCCAATATCTTTTGTTTTTGACTTTTTAATAATAGCCATTCTTTCTGGTGTGAGATGGCATCTCATCATGGGCTTTGATTTGCATTTCTCTAATGACTAATTGCACTGAGAATTTTTTCACATATTTTTTGGCCACATCCATGTCTTCTTTTGAGCAGTGTCTGTTCATATCCTTTGTCTACTTTTCAATGGTAATATTTGCTTTTTCTTCATTGAATTTAGTTCCTTATAAATTCTGGATGTTAGACCTTTGTCAGATGCATAGTTTGCAAATATTTTCTCCCATTCTATATAGGTTGTCTGTTTATTCTGTTGATTATTTTGCTGCGTGGAAGCTTTTAGTTTAATGAAGCCCCATTTGTCAATTTTTGTTTTTGTTGCAATTGATTTTGAGGACTTAATCATAAATTATTTGCCAACACCAAAGTCCAGAATGGTATTTCCTAGAATTTCTTATGGGATTTTCATAGTTTTAGGTCTTACACTTTGTCTTTAACATATCTTGAGTTACATTTTGTATATGGTAAAAGGTAACAATCCAGTTTCAATCTTTGCACATGGCTAGCTGTTATCTCATCACTGTGCATTAAATAGGGAATTATTTCCCCATTGCATTTTATTGTTGACCTCATAAAAGATCAGGCAGTTGTAGGTGAATGGATTTATTTCTGGATTCCCTATCCTGTTCCATTGGTCCATGTGTCTGTTTTGTAAGGGTACCATGCTTACTGTGGCCTTGCAGTATTGTTTAAAGTCAGCTAGTGTGGTCCCCCCCAGCTTTGTTCTTTTGCTTAGAAGTGCTTTGGTGATTTCAGCTCTTTTTGGTTCCATATAAACTTTTAAACAGTATTTTCTAAAGTTTGTGAAAAATGATGTTGGTAGCTTGGTACGAAGAGTATTGAATCTGCAAAATGCTTTGGGCAGTATGGCTATTTTAACAATATTGATTCTTCCTATCCATGAGAATGGAATGTTTTTTTGTTTGTGATTTCTCTGATTTCTTTCAGCAGTGCTGTGTAATTCTCATTGTAGAGATTTTTCATCTCCTTAGTTAGCTATAATCCTTGGTATTTTATTCTTTATGTGACTCTTTTGAATGGAATTGCATTCTTGATTTGGTTCTCAGTTTGCATGTCATTGGTGTAAAGAAATGCTTCTGATTTTTGTACATCAACTTTGTATCCTGAAACTTTACTAAAGTAGTTTATCAGTTCTAGGATCCTTTTTGGTGGAGCCTATGGAAAAGTCTACCTATAGAACCATGTCATCTGCAAAGAGAGATAGTTTAACTTCCTGATTTCATATTTGGATGCTTTTCTTTCTTTCTCTTGCTGATGCTCTGGCTAGGACATTTAGTACTATCTTGCATAAGATTGATAATTGTCTTATTCTAGTTCTCAAGGGGAATGCTCCAGCTTTTGCCCATTCATTGTGATGATGTTGGCTATAGGTTTGTCTTAGATGGCTCTTATTATTTTGACGTATGCTCCTTTGATGACTAATTTGTGTAGAGTTTTTAACATAAAGCAATGTTGAATTTTATTGAAAGCCTGGCATGCATCTGTTAGGTTGATTGTATGGTTTTTGTTTTTAATTCTCTTTATGTAGTGAACCATTTATTGATTTGCATATGTTAAAACAGCCTTGCATCTCAGGAATAAAGCCTATTTAATCATGAGGAATTAAGTTTTTGACGCACTGCTGAATTTTGTTTGCTAGTATTTTGTTGAGAATTTTTGTGTCTGTGTTCATCAGGGATATTGGCTTGATGTTTTCTTTTCTTTGTTGTGTCTGCTACATTTTGTTATCAGAATGAGGCTGGTTTGTAGAATGAATTAGGGAGGAGTGCCTACTCCTCAATTCTTTGGAATAATTTCAATAAGATTGGTGCTAGCTCTTTGCATATCTGATGGAATTTGGCTGTCAATTCATACGATTCTGGGATCTTTTGGTTGGCAGGCTTTTTGCTACTGATTCAATTTTAGAATTGTTATCCATTCAGTATTTCAATTTCTTCTTGGTTCAATTTTGAGAATCTTTCTGTTCCCAGACATTTGTCAATTTCTTCTAGGTTTTCTAGTTTGTATATATACAGGCATGCATAGTAATCTCTGAGGATTTTTTGTATTTCTATGGGGTCCTTTGTAATGTTTTCTTTGTCATTTCTGGTTGTATTTATTTGGATTTTCTATCTTTTTGTAAATCAATCTAGCAGTCTACCAATTTGTTCATTCTTTCAATTAACCAATTTTGGATTTGTTGATCTTTTTTATGAATGTTTGTGTCTCAATTTCATTCAGTTCAGCTCTGATTTGTGGTTATTCCTTTTCTCCTGTTAGCTTTGGGGTTAGTTGGCTCTTATTTTGTTAGTTCTTCTGGCTGTGACATTAGGTTGTTAATTTGAGATCTGTACAACTTTTAGATACAGGCACTTATTGCTTTAAACTTTTCTCTTAACATTGCTTTAGCTCTGTTCCAAATATTATGGTATGTTGTATCTGTTTTCCTTAGTTTCCAATAATTTTTTCATTCCTACCTTTATTTCCTTCTTTACCTCAAAGTCATTCAGAAACACGTTGTTTAACCTGCAAATGGTTGTATGGTTTTGAGAGATCTTCTTGGTATTGAATTACATTTTTATTGTGTTATGGTCCAAGAGTGTGGTTGGTATGATTTGGATTTTTGAATTTGTTCAGACTTGATTTATGACTGAGCATGTATTCAATTTTAGAGTATTTGCCATTTGCAGATGAGAATAACATATGTTCTGTTTTTTATTGGGTGGAGTGTTCTCCTAAATATCTCTTAGGTCCAATTTGTCAAGTGTTGAGTTTAAGTGCAGTATATATTTGTTAGATTTCTGCCTCAGTGATCTGTCTAACATTGTCAGTGGGTTGTTGAAGTCTCCCACTATTATTGTGTGGTTATCTAAATCTCTTTATAGATCTCTAATAACTTGTTTTATGAATCTGGGTGCTCCAACATTGAATGCATATATATTTAAAATAGTTAAGTCTTCTTGTTGAATTGAACCCTTTATCATTATATAATGTACTCTTTTTTTTTTATTATGGTTGGTTAAAGTCTGTTTTATCTAATATAAGAATAGCAACCCCTGCTCCTTTTTATTTTCCATTTGCCTGATAGATCGTTCTTCATCCCTTGTTTTGAGTCTATGGTTGTCATTACATGTGGTATGAATCTCCTGAAGATAGTAGTTGGATCTTGCTTCTTTATCCAACTTGCTACTCTATGCCTATTAAGTGGATCATTTAGCCCATTTACATTGAAGGTAATTATTGTTATGTGAATATTTAATCCTGTTACCATATTGTTTAGATTTTATTGTACAGTTGCTTTATATTATCAATTGGCTAAGTACTTAAGGGTGTTTTTGTGGTGGTAGTTATTCTTTTGTTACCATGTTTGTCATTCCTTTTAAGTCCTCTTGTAAGGCAGGTCTAGTGGTAAAGAATTTCCTTAGCATTTGCTTGTCCAAAAAGAATTTTATTGGGCCAGGGG